ACTGATGCACTTGAAAAATGCCTGGAAATATATTGGCTATAAATTGTTAGCCATCATTTCTTTGTGTCTTGTTTTTATTTCTTTTTGATAAACGGTGAGGAAAAATGTATGCAATTTCCTCTTCCCTTTAACCCTTTTCCTCCTTTTCTTTTTGCTTATTTCTTACCTAGCCTCATATTACAAGTACTAGTTAAAATTTATTGTCTTCAGTAACAATTATTCTGAAGAAAAAAAATCATTTTTTTTTAAAAAGAATATGAATTTGTCTTTAATAAGATTGTTTTTGTGTAAACCTAAACTCCATTTTGTAACATCTTTATTTGACTGACTTCTTTCTTATTTTAAATTTTATTATTTTTCAGTAATAATTATAAATTATAAAGGAGTCGACTAATTAGGGAAAAAGGAAAATTTAATAATTATTCAACATTTTCTGGATCTGAAAGTGGAGAAATAAACAATAATAAATAATATAAAAAATAAAATATATTTGGAAATTGGACAATACTTTTGTAATAATTGTACTTTCAAGCTGACAAGGAAAATCCATCTACAAATTAATTTTCCAAGTCATTTTCTACTTTTCATTTAATGACAATATATTTTTTCTGACTTTGAAAAGTGATAGTCATAAATTTGCAGACATTGTCTTCATCTTTTAACATTAGTAATTACGTTTTCTTTTTCTGTCTTCAAGGTATGGCCAATAAAATGTAGGTGAAGCTTTTGTGGAGTAACTTAATTGAAAAGTGTATTTTTAAAATATTTTCAATTTAAATCGTTTATTTTTTATTTTTTTTTTGTTGTTTTAAGTCAAACTTTTGGATTACACTTATGGCACAGAGAATTTTTACTGACCTCAATATTCCTATGAAATTTTTCCTCAATGAAATGATGCAAACCAATGAACTACATTTGAATGCCAAATAAATGTCCTCGGTAAGAGGAGGATGTTTAATTTTTTGTTAATTTTTAAATCCCACCTGACACACTTTGTTTTTGACTATTCACATTCACCATACTTAATAGATTGCCGGAAATTTTTTCTTTGAAATGTATTATAGTGGGGAAAATATTACATTGCAAGCTTTCAGTGAAATATTTTATGTGTTTGAGTCATTTTAAACTATAAACTCTATAATATATTATTTATTTGTTGACCATTGATGGGCATTTATTTACATTGTAACATTGACAAAACTTCATAGAAATATTTTTTATTTTGTTTAACCTTGTGTAAGATTTTCCCTATGATTGACGATGCTGAAATAGTTGCAGAAAATGGTTTGACTTTATTTATGAAAGGGCGTGCAGGTTTAGGAGAGATATTTTGAGTGCTGAAAAGAACTGTATGATTGAGAGACTAAGAAGTCAAGCATACTTTCATATTTCAAGCTTTCTACAGCAGACTAGAAATGTTGATCTTTATCAAAGCAAGTGACAATGGAAGATTATATTTTTGTGTGTGGAAACACTTAAAATTTTCTTCATATATATTTCCCAAATTTGCTTGAAGATGAAACAGAACTAATGCTTTTAATTTAATTATATAATTAAATTTGAAGTTTTTAGCTTCAGTTTTTGAAACATGGTAATTCCTGTGTAGTGAAGAAACCATATTTTAAATTGGTTAATTTATAATATTTATGCTCTGTAAATTTACATTGAGCACTGTTTTGTAAAAATAAAAATATCAATAAGAACACCAGATTATATATATATCTTACTGTTTTTTTCTTTTTATTATATATATATATATATATATATATATATATATATATATAGGCACTTTTTGTTTTTGGGGTAGCATTGGAAACCTGTACTAATAGAATTTTTTTAAAAGCAAATTGGCATAAGATTAATTTTAGAAAGAGTATACTTGTATATAAAAGTAATGCATCTTGAAGCACCTGGTGATCAGTTACCTAAATCTGCTATTCTATCTTACCTAATTTAATCTAAGAAATTACCTCATTATTAATTCTAAAGTTGACTTCAGTTTGGGTTAAGGCAGAGAATTACTTAAAAATTGTAACATTTTAAAATGTATTATAGGCTATAATATAAACATTTCTAATTCATGGCCAACTACAAAACTACGGGCATATTACACTGCAGGCCCTCACTCTTTGACTTAACATCACCGTAAGTGGGACCAAATGTCTTCTGCAGTTGTAGCTAGTAGTTATATATGTACCTTACAGTGAATTTCAATTTGTATTTTTCACATTTTTAAATATGATCTTATTCTTTTATGGCATGCCTCATTTGATTTTGTGGCACTCCATTGTGCAAGTACATCAATAAGTTTGTTGCCTAATGATGAAAAAAGCAATTATCTTACACGATAAATAATTATTTTTCAATGTAGGTGCATTGACAAGCATGGAGATGAATTTAGTGATGAATATTCACTGCATATAATGAACAGTTATACAGCAAAAATTTCAGATCAAAATTCACCTAATGTTGGGCTATAGGTTTACAGATCCACCTTAATATTTTTTATAATGTGCTACCAAAATAATAATAACTCTAAATTTACTTTAATTTCAAATATGGAAAATTTATTAGATTTTCTATATCTGTGTTTATGGTGTGTTATATTATTAAAAAAAAAAAAAATATCCAAAATATGAACCCAGATTAAAAAAAATATTTCTGTAACATGAGAAAAAAATGTTCAAATCCTGAATATGAACCCAATTTAAGTGTTATTATTGCATCATGATTATTGTTGTTGGATAGTGAGGATTTTACAATTGTGTTTACTATTAGATGGAAAGGTAGGTTACTTTGGCTTTTCTATATAAAAATATAATTAGAATTATTTTGATGACAAATAATTCACTGAGCTGGGATTAGTATTGTATCTTTTTTTCCTCAGCCATTTTCTTGTCTTCAGGTGACACATGGTAAAAAATAAAGCAAGCCTGGTCCGGGGGCGGGGGGGGGGGTTGAGTTAGACCTCCCCATTGCACAAAAATGGACAGTCAGAGTATTCTAATACTTTTCTGATACTGATCACTGGCATTGAGCAATTTTTGTCCTTGACTACACATACATATCTGGACTTTTGTCACCTTCTGCTCTTGTGGGGATGTAGTTAAATATTGTATGTGTCAGAGTAACTTGATTAACATCACTCTACTGCAGGAGCTGTTCTATTAGTGTGTGTGCACATACCATATACAGTATCAGTATATTTTGTATGGAGGACAGAGATGGTTAGATTGTCCATGTTGATAAAGTTGTCTCTTCTGGTAATGTAGAAATCCTAATTATTTAATGCTGAATAGAATATTATGTGTTCAGTTTAATATTCAGTAATTTTTAGATATAAATGCAGATAAAAAAAAAATTGGTATTGATATTTTTTTAGAATATTGCAATTGTATATTTAATAAGTACAATACAATTGTACTTAAAAATATAAAAATGAAATATTTATGTTCTTATTTTTTTATGCTATGGCTAAACTAGCAGAGAAAAAAAGTTTGTCAACACTAGTCATATATATTCATAAATACATCAGTACACACACACACGTACGTACGTACGTTACATATATATATATATATATATATATATGCGCACATACTATCTTCACATATGTACACCCTCAAACCTTACATGCATGTTTGCATGCACATATTCTTATTTTTATAAGATAGAAATTGTTTTATTTATCAGCTTATTGTTCATTCGACCCAATCAATCAATACATTTAGTAGTTGAGTTCAGTATATTTTCTAACCTTTTCATTATTGTCACACTGCAAGATTATTCAGCCTGAATTTGAATGGTCCATGTTACTTTATATTGACATAAATGTCAACATATATTAGAACAAAAAGGATGTGTGACCTCAGAGGCTGCTGAATCTGTGTCAGATGAACTTACATAGTCTCACCATGTACTTTTCTTTCATGTCTCATTGATCTTTTTATTTTTAACCATGACTCATTATTAACATGATTTCTTGAAAAGTTTTGAAAGCATGAGAAAAGATATGAAAGAAATTAAGTAATCTCTCTTTTTTTCTTTTATTGTTTTCAGTAGTTGATTTTATTGTTTTTGCTATGAAAAAATACCAATTTCACACACTCAAACACAACAGAGGAGAATTGTACTAAATGAAAGTAAAAGAAAAAACTTTGCTAGTTAAAATTGTCATTAAGCAACCAATTAAAAATGAAGTTCAATATTTTTAAATGACATGTACATCTGTAATGCATGCAACTTTCGTTATATCCCTTTCACTATATTTATATATTTAAAGACTCACATGTAAAAAAAAAAAAAACTCTTTCTCATACTAGAAAGGACTTAACAAATATATAGTGCATGGGTAAATTAGATTTAATTCATAATTTTGACTCCTACTCAGTAATGTTTTTATAACAACTTGTTGGATACTGATAGCTTATTATTCTGTTGTTTCAGAAAATATTTAAGCAAAAAATGAAATCATTGCTTCAACTGGTATGCTTACTACAAACCTAGATATAAAAATGGCCAGAGTGATTTTTCAAAAGTTTTTTTAAGGAAATCTGTATAGAAAAGCAGTCAGGAATTTTGATATTTGTGAATTTATTTGCTCTACTTGTTGGCTTGCCATAAAGTCTCTCTGGATATAAGTGAAAAAGAAAATGATGGATCACTGATAGAAACTTGAAATTAAAGTTTTGTAGCTTTCCATACACTGCAGGAGTTTGATTCATTTGCAGAGATACTTGATTTATTGAATTAGTCCTATTGAAAATCAAGAAGAAAACTATGAAGGGTGTGCTACAAAGTTTTTGGTACAACATAAGAAGCTCCTTACCTTCCAAAAAGAAATTACTGATGTTTGATCAATGAGAAGGGAAGATCTAGCTATATAACCAGTAAATATATATAGTAGTTTATATTATTCAACAGATTCCTAGTTTTACTCTGTTATTATTGTTGCCTTTTGATTGAATATTTTCATGATTCTTTTATTTTTAACTTTGTGCTTACGGCCACATTATGTTGAAACACCACTTCCCATATGATAACCAAAGTGAAGCAACATCAAGCCTAGCCAGTATTTAGATGGGTGACCACTTGGAAATACCAGGTGCTTTAAGCTTGGATGTGTGGGTGGTGTAATGAATAATGGATCCAAATTGTTAATAGGAGAGCTGAGTTCCAATTACAGTTGGGAAAGGTATGAATCCACCTCTTCTCCCCTCAGGTGGGTTAATTAGTAAGACATATATCACTAAATCATTGTCTCAAAAAAAAAAATTCTTAAAATCTAAAAATGTTTTCTGGCTTTAAATAAACTGCGAAGGGTTGATAAGCCATAGAAAACAAATCAATCTATCAATATTCTTAAGTTCACACCTGCCCTCTCCAAATTATATAACTACTGCCTCAATGAATGTTGTTTTCCATCCTGTTGAAAGTCCTCATCCGTTGTTCCTGTCTTTAAGAACTCTGGAGACCCTTCTGACCCTTCTAATTACTGTCCTATCAGTCTCCTACCACTCTTCAGCAAAGTCTTTGAAACTTTAATCAACGCTGAAGTGGTTATGCACATTACGTCCCATAATCTGCTCTCCAACAAGTAATATGGTTTCTCCTTTGCCTGTTCTACAGCTGATGTGCTTACGGCCATAACTGAAATTGTTTACCAAGCACTTCATAATAACGGAGAAGCTCGTGCTGTAGCTCTAGATATCTCCAAAGCATTATATAGGATTTTGCATACGGGCCTTCTTTGCAAGCTTCTGGGTTACAGAATTACAGGTCGATTGTTCTACTTGATACAATCATTCCTGTCAAACTATGCATTGAAGGTCATTCTCAATGGATTCTCCTCCAGCCCCTATTCCACGAACGCAAGTGTTCCCCAAGGCTTTATCCTAGGCCCTACTTTGTTCCTTATTTTCATTAATGATCTTCCTGATGTCATAGGTTCCCAAGTAGGCATCTATGCGGATGACACTACTATTTACTCCTGCCTCAAAAACAAATCTAGTGTCGCTGACAAAACTAACCTGGCCTTTTGTCTAGAAAAAGACCTCCAAGCAGTTGTGGACTGGGGCAGGAATTGGCTGGTTAACTTTAATGCCTCAAAAACAAAACTGCTCTCTATTATTCACCAGAGAGAACCATCCCTGCCTCCCATTAGAATGTCTGATGCTCAACTCCACGAGAGCACCTCTTTGCGACTGCTTGTTCTCACATTGTCCACTGACATTGAGTCAATAGCTTTGTCCACCACTAGGAAAGTCGGCTCCCTGTGCAACGCCAGGAAATTTTTCTCGCTGGAGTCAATCCTTCAAATCTACAAATTCACCATTTGCCCTTGCATGGAGTATTGCTGCCATATATGGTCTGGAGCCCCTTCTGTTTGTCTCAAGGTCCTTGATATGCAATATAATTGGCCCTGATCTGGCATCTCATCTGCAGCCACTCTCTCACAGACATGCTGTTCCCTCCCTCTGTCTTTTTTACAAATACCTTCACGGTAACTGCTCCAATGAGTTGCTTTCGCTGGTTCCCAGATTTCATGAATTTAAGTGTTCAACTAGGCTGGCATCTCGCTCTCACACTTTTGCTGCTGAAACTATTAAATGTTGCTGTCTCTTCTACTCCAATAGCTTCATGTCTTGCACTTCTTGCCTGTGGAACTCCCTCCCCATTTCTTGTTTTCCTGATAGCTATAATCTCCAACTATTCAAGTGTAACATCAATCGACGTCTCCAGATGCCCTGATCTATCCCCTAATCTTCTCTTCATCCTTTCCTCTATCGCTCCTCTTTGCTCTCGCTCCAATTCTCTGTGACCCCTTGCGTGCGAGTGGCTTCCCGCCTTGCTTGGGGTTGAATGCCTAAAAAAAAAAAAAAAGTTCATTTCATCTTACTGTTTTTTATTACAGTGCACTCTGGATACTTGAGCATACTATGAAGTTTGTATTTTTATTTTTAAAGCAGATGGACAAACTTTTCCCACTTAGTGGGTTACAACAGAACAATCTTCCTACCTCTACTACCTATATTCTGCTGACTCAGCTAAAGTTAGAAACTATGAGAAAATCATTTGAAAATGATAATCTAGAATTTAGTCATGACATTAAACTGAAAGAGGGCAAAATGGATAGAATTCTGAAAAATATGTATTTTTAAGATTTATATTTTGATTTTTATGTTGGAATAATAGTAATTATAAAGCATATAATAATTTACTCTAATTCTTAAAATTAAAGCCAAATGATTTTAGATAAGGCACTATTAATTAAAAAAAATATTTTTATATATCTTTTCAAATTAAATCTGAAAATTTTGTTACTAATTTAACATCTAACTTGTGTTCAACTTAAAAAAATAAGTGTTTAACATTGTTTTATTCTATACTATTAATTATTATCAGACAGTATTTGTTTTTCTTTCTTTTTTAATTTTTAAATGTTTATTTCATCATTAAAGATGAATATATTCTATTTTATTGGTTAATTGATTCATTTCCAATAAGGTTTGGCACATTTTCTTAGATATATACAAATTACATATTTTTTCATCATTTGTTATTACACAACCAGATTAAATTTTCTGTTCTCTCTCTTTTCCTTTATTACTTAAGTGTGTGCCTTTTACATTTAATGTGACTGTTTCCGCAACCATTTTTCTTATGACTCATTTTGTGTTGTATTATTAGCATTTTCCCCTTTCTATAATTATTCAATCAAATCAACTTACTGGTCAGTCAATTATTCTATGAAATCTAAAACTAATAAATATTATTGCTCCTACCTCATAATATAGCCATTTTTCATAGTAAACAAGCAAAAAATGTATATATTTATTCATTTTTACTGAAGTATGATCCATCCTGGAGATAAATTTTGACCTTGTAAGCATACACACACAATTGAAGTCAAATGATGAGTTGAAATAAAAATGGGGGCAGTTTGCTATTACTGTAAAAAATACAGCAATTTCAACTCTGTGTGTATATATATTTGATACTAATCTCTGTAAACTCACCCTCATTATGTGCCAAGTCAGTTCATTTAGGTTTTCTTTTTAATTAAAAATACAGCATCTTTCTTTTGGCTGATAATGCATCTCTTTGCATTTTATGTGTGTGTGTATGTGTTTGTGCATTTTGTAGGTCATTAATACTGGAATATTTTTGTTGGTTTTGTTTCTACTTTTCAATCAATAAGATGATTTGATGGAATAAAAAATCCATTAATATCTATATATTTAAAATTTATGGTTATTGACATGAGATTTTTTTTAATTTACATTGATTTTCTATAGTAATCAAATTTGCACACACAAGATGATGGAATGTGTTTAAGTTGTATTTAAGGCAAATAAAACTTGTTCTCTGTAAATGTGATATCTTTGAGAATTTTATTTTTGTATATGTGCATTTAATATATATATATATATAGATTTACTTGGACTAGTGTCCTCTTCATGGTTAGTCACAACAAACTGAAAGTTACTTTTTTTTTTTTTTTTTCCCAAGTCAAAAATGCATGTTTTTTGTGAGTGAAAATTCAGTAAATAATGTAGCAATATAAAACTGGAATTGTATTACATCTATTAATTAAAACCAAAAAGGAAAATTTGACTTTCCCATTTAATTTTTACATTTTATGATAATTGTTATCTAACAGGCTAATAATCCCTACAAATGGTTTTTGAGTGTAAATATGTCATGAAATGTACTCCAAACAGTTATGTTAACTGTAAACACATTTACCAGTGGAACATTGCCAGCTTATGACTTCTCTGACAACTTCAGATTCAGATTCAATAAATACCAAAATTAGAGTTGTTATGTATTAAACTTGGCTTAGTTTTGGCACAAGGCCACATGTATAGAACACTCAATGAGGATCAGATTCATTACTCCGTTGTAATGGTATACAAAGTCAATTTGCTAACCATTACACCATGATGAGATCCACCCATCAAAGAAAAATATTAAAAATAACAGTTTCAGTAGTTTTTAAAAATAACACTCTTTCAGTAGTTTTTAATTTGCAATTTGGTGGGAAGTGTTTATCCAGAAGAGAAATGTAGTGAATATATGAAAGAAAATGAAATTCTTGGGCCAGTTACTTTTTTCTTGTTTGCTTTAAAGTTTTTAATAGTGAGAAATGTTTGTACAAACATGCATGACAAATGGATAACAACAAATTCTGCAGATTGCAATCAGAGAAACATGGCTTATATTTTGGCACTAATTTCATTGGAAAACAGTATACTGTTTTTACTTTTGTTATCACTATCCCTACTAATTTACCAGTCAGTAACTTTAATAATCTGTATTAAAACATTAAATATTTCTGGAAGTAAGTTGACGGTGGAGGACTATGAAATTCTGAATTTTACAGATTTTAATTTTGCTTTAGCACTCGTGTTAAGTAAAATATAAGAAAAGAATTATCAGTGATAATTGGTGAAAGCATTGCTAACAGAATAGCACTTCCTAGCCTTTGGGTTGAGATCAGTTTAGCATCTGTTCCTCTCTTCAGTTGTTTAGAGCCTTTAGGCAGGATGCAGTAAAATAAAAACAAGGTGAACCTGGTCATTTTTAAAAGGGAAAGGTTAGGCTATTTTTACACATTTAGGGTTGGGCAATTTTTGTATTTGATTACATATTAAACATTTTGTTGCATTCTACTAAAAAATCATACACATGCACACACAATCTATCCCCAATATTGAGCATTCGTCCTGATTAAATTAGCAAATTTTAAAAATGTATATATGAAATAAAAAAAATAAAAGGATATGTGTGCAGTCTTTGAATTTATGGAAACTTAGGTTAATTAATAAGAACCACCATGTTGTGTTTATCAGATTTCATGGAGGGTGACAAATTTGATTCCCACAGCCCTAGCAAAACACAAAAATAATTCTGTTAGTGTCTTTTATATAGATATTTAATATAATTTACGTTTCAAACTTATAAGGTAATTTATATTAGGATACATAAAAGGGAAAAACATTTTGAAAATCATTAATCAATATTTTGAATTATGTAACATTATTGGTAGCTTTAATCAGAAAAGTCACCTTTGAATAATAAACATTTTTTTTGACATGCTCAATCAG